GGTTGTGTCAGGAAGGTGAGCATCATAGAATGCCAATTTAATAGAAGAAAGTATTCTTGCATTGAGGGAGTACTTGAGTGGAGGCCCAATGTCGGGAAGGGGCGAATTTTGAGTACCATTAAGACTTAGCCTCAATATCGTGCTGAAAAGGGATTGTCTACTAATGCTGCCTGTTGAAAACCTGACACCTCAAAACTTGGAATTCCCTGAACTCTTTTCTGCCCTACTGCACCCTATCTGTTGTCCCACCTTCCTGCTCTCAGATGTGGATAAAGCCTCACATATAAAGAGACCGAGGTGCTGAGTAAGGGCCAATAGCAGACACTAGGGTGAGCATGGTCATAGCAGCGATGTGCTGATAGAAGAGGTGATAAGGGTGTCTGTGATCAGTCATCAGGAGACTTACAGGGGTGGAGACCAAGCAGTTGCCCAGACGGGGCCGATTTACCCACATCTGGTTAAGCTGACACACCTGAGGACTACATGAGCCAGGAAATGTCATGTCCACTTTTGTGATCAGGTGTAAAGAGCACCTGCCATGGTCATTCTGTTCATTATCTCCACATCATATTCTTCTTCATCATCAACCACCGGGAAGTAGAGTGTGCTCCACCTTGTTCTTGGACCCTGAGCTGAGATGGTGACTGCTCAGGATAGAAGGGAATGGGAGGAGAGCTTGAGATGGGAGAATTGGGGGCTTTCAGGCTGAGGCCAAGAAAGCCATGATACTTATAAGATTTGGGGGCATGAGGAACTAACTTCCTTAGTTCCAATTCCAATTTTTAATACATTTTTCTTCTGGAGTAATGATTTGAAGAATAGAAGTGACACCAATTTCACTCTACATTTGTATCCAATGCTACAAATCATACATACAACAGTCCCCTTTATATGTGATCACTTTTGATTAAGGTGTCAACTTTTCTCCATTTCCTTGATGGAGAAACTGTGGAATACATTTTCATTGACCTGTCTTAAGAAATAAGGGTTAAACTCTGGTCTGTCTAATAGCAGAGCCTGTGCTCTGGCCAAGGCATTTACCTGGTTGGGTCTCAGCCCAGATCCATTACTGAAAGATCTGATGAGGATTCCCGTGGGTCTGGAAGTCTGTGGTAGTTTTGAAGGCCCACTGCCTGGGCGACGGCAGAGGAGGTGGTTCCTGCCCTGGCAGAGAGACTAAGTCTTATGACCTCTACCTATGCTGACTATATCCGCAAGGAAAACACCTTGGCTATTAAAAGGGGCTTGTAGCTGCTGTTATGTGCCGTCAAGTTGATTTTCAATGCCCAGAGGCCCCATATGGCAGAGTAGAACTGCTAGTGGCATAGAGGATATGTGTTGGGCTGCTAACCACAAGGTTTGCAGTTGAAACCACTGGCTGCGCCATAAGAGAAAGATGAGGCTTTCTACTCTTGTAAAGAGTTATGGTCTTAGAACTGACAAGGCAGCCCGGCTCTGTCCTGTAGGCTTCCTAGGAGTTGAAATGGACTCGATGACAGTGAGGTTTTGTTTGAGAATCTATTGGTTTGGTCTGAGTCAAAGGCCACCTTTTTAGTTCCCAGCCTAACTTGTCATCAGGGTTCTTGAAAGGAAGAACTTTTACTAAATTTGGACCCTAGCAATAGGTTGGGCCTAACCCTTAGCTCCCTGTCCACTCTGAGGGCCTGGAAGGCAAGCCTTTATGGGGAGTATGATGCTTTATACACAATGTACCCACATTACCCACTCAGTACGGTAAGCTTGTGCATAGCGGGCATCTGGGGACTTCTGCAAAAATGGTGCACTCAGGAGATCCACTACACTGACTCTACAACAAAGACACGAGAGACCAAGTGAAACACATACTGATCATAATCTTGGAACCCTGGGCTTCAGATGAAAGGATAGAGAAGTAGACTGATTACTGATTCAGAAATTTGTGAACAAGAGAGGCAAAAAAGGAGTTCTCGTTAAAGACGGTTGGCTAGACATACACGCCACTAAATTAGCTATATTTCTCACAATGTAAGTGTGAGAAAACTAATATGGAAGAAAAGCCTGAATATCTGAAGAAAAAGAAAACGGTTTAGTGAGCCAAACCCATCCACACAGAAAACAAGTAACTTGTGAATTTTGCACACTCTGGAGGCTTTGCATGTGGACAGAAGGAGGAGTGGACTTGCGACTCACCCACAATATATGGAGCCAGTTGGAGCAGGACTGAGCTATCCCTGGTTCCACAGAGCTCCTGAGCACTCAGTCGGAGGGTCCCTGGCTCCACATTCACTGGGACTACCAGAATTGGCAGGGCACATCTTTGTTTTATTTTATCTTTTTCAGCACTAGATTGATGGGAAAGGCTACTGGGGAGGGGCCTACACATTCACCATCAACATGGGGCTAACAGAGCAGGGTTTGGCTTAAAAATGCATTCTATCTCTTTTTTTTAAAAAAACATTTTATTCGGGGCTCATACAACTGTTATCGCAATCCATACACACTTCAATTGTGTAAAGGACATTTGTACATCATTCTCAAAACATTTTCTCTCCACTTAAACCCCCGACATTAGGTCCTCATTTTTTTCCCCTCCCTCCCCACTCCCCCCTCCCTCATGAGCCCTTGATAGTTTATAAATTGGTATTTTGTCATATCTTGCCCTGCCCGACGTCTCCCTTCACCCACTTTTCGGTTGTCTGTCCCCCAGGGAGGAGGTCACATATAGTTCCTTGTAATTGGTTCCCTCTTTCCTACCCATTCTCCCTTCTATCTCTTTCTTTTAATCTGTGAAACTGTGTTATAGGGATGGAGGCCACCCCACCCACACACCGCTGCCTTTGCCACCTCTGGCTTGGCCTCTGTGGCTGAGGTGAGGGCCTAGACACGCAGTGCGATGGGGGTTGAGGCTACTTCTTCCCCTGCTGTTCCTCACTGTAGCGGCAGTGAGAGCCTCTTGAAGCAACACTATGGGGCACAGACCAGATGTTCTTCTGCTTCTTTCCATGAAGGAAGTGAAAGCCCAGAGGCGTCCAGATTCTGTACAAGCTGAGAAAGAGGAAGCAGCTACTGCCTCTGGCCTTGAGTCTTTTGCTTCTTATTTATTATGATATTTTGCTTTTTCCTGTTTTGTTTTTGTGTGTGATTGTTGGCTTGTTTGCTCACTTTTATGGGCTGTTGTAAATTTGTTTTCTTTGTTTTAAATGTTTCTGTTGTACTCTACCTCATGGAGACCAATGTCCTCACATGACCTAGTGATTCATGCACCTATAATGGCTGCACCCACTGGACAAGAACCATCACCTACTTCGGTACCACTTGACCAACAAATAAACATAGCTGGAAAAACACCACAATATCTTGGAGACAACCAACAATTCCAGTTAATATGATAAGATAGAATGGTGCAAACAAGTGACCAGTAGAAGGAGTCAAGGGACCTTCCGAAAGGAGATAGGCATTTGAACAACTGGAAAAGGAAGTCAGAAAAATGATCCTTCTTCTTTTTCAAATCATTTTATTGGGGCTTGGACAACTCTTATCACAATCCATCCATCCATCCATCGATCCATCCATCCATCCATCCATCCATCCATTGTGTCAAGCACATTTGTACATTTTCTGCCATCATCACAGAAAAATGATTCTTAGGTGCAGTTAGTGAATGGGGGGAAAAGCTCGATATGAGCAGGGGGAAAAAATAGAAAAAAATATAGGAGAACCCAAGAAGATAAAACAAGACAAACCTGACTAAATAATAATTAAAAATAAAAAGACAGGGAGAAACCATTCAAAAACAGAAAATAGAAATCCAATAGATAAACACTAAGCTATTAGAAATAGATATTACATTGAGATACCAAAGCAGTAGAATTGAACACATGGAAGGCTGAATTAGTGAGTTTGAAAATAATTCTCCCAGTAAAAATCTACAAGAAAGACAATCTAGAAAAGGTAAAACAACAACAGCTGCTGAAGAAAGCTTAAGAATTATGTGTGAGGCTATTTTAAATCCAGCTCCATGAATGAGTATAGCAACATGGAGGAATTCGCCGAGGGTTTCAAGATAAACGCGAGCAAGACTCAGCAGGATGACGGTACAATGTTTATCGGAGGCTTGAGCTGGGATACAAGCAAGAAAGATCTGACTGAACATCTGTCTCGATTTGGAGAGGTTGCTGACTGCACAATTAAAACAGATCCAGTCACCGGCCGCTCAAGAGGATCTGTGCTTTTTAAAGATGCTGCTAGTGTTGATAAGGTTTTGGAACTGAAAGAACACAAACTGGATGGCAAATTGATAGACCCCAAAAGGGCCAAAGATTTAAAGGGGAAGGAGCCCCCCAAAAGGTTTTTGTGGGTGGATTGAGCCCAGATACTTCAGAAGAACAGATTAAAGAATATTTTGGAGCCTTTGGAGAGATTGAAAATATTGAACATCCCATGGATACAAAAACAAATGAGAGAAGAGGATTTTGCTTTATCACATACACAGATGAAGAGCCAGTAAAGAAGCTGTTAGAAAGCAGACACCACCAAATTGGTTCTGGGAAGTGTGAAATCAAAGTTGCACAGCCCAAAGGGCTATACAGGCAGCAGCAACAGCAGCAGAAAGGAGGAAGAGGTGCTGCAGCTGGTGGTCGGGGTGGTACTAGGGGTGGTGGACGAGGTCAGGGCCAAAACTGGAATCAAGGGTTTAATAACTATTATGATCAAGGATATGGAAATTACAATAGTGGTGATCAAAACTATAGTGGCTATGGCAGATATGATTATACTGGATTTAACTATGGAAACTATGGATATGGACAGGGATATGCAGACTACAGTGGCCAACAGAGCACATACGGCCAGGCATCTCGAGGGGAAGGCAATCACCAAAACAATTACCAGCCATACTAAAGGAGGACATTGGAGAAAACAGGAGGAGATGCTAAAGCAACCCATTTGCAGGACAACGTTGAAGATTGGCCTTCTGTTGATCTAAGATGACTATTTTGTAAAAGACTTTTTAGTGTACAGGACACAATTGTGTCCAACTGTATATAGCTGCCAATTCGTTTTCTTTGTTTTTACTTCGTCCTTTGCTATCTGTGTTTTGACTCGATGTGGATTTGTGTTTATACAATTTTTATTTGTATGATTTCATGTTAAACCTCAAATAAATGCTTCCTTATGTGAAAAAAAATTATGTGTGAAAAATAACATATTTTTAATAAGACTTTCAGACAGGAAGGAACAAAAACAAAAGCACAGAGAAGAATAGTTCAAGCCTGACTGGAAGAAAACGTCCTTAAAATGGTGAAAGGGGAGAAACCAATCATCCAAGAACTACACAGAGGAGAGATCCCAAAAGAAAATCACCATGACATCAAACTGAAAAGTTTCCAAGAGCAAAGACAAGGAAAGAATTCGGAGAGCCGCTCATGTAAAACTAAACGTTATCCACAAGGAGGAATCAGCAGGACTAAGTTAGGATTTTTTAGCTGAACTCATGCAGGCAAGAGGGTCTTAGGATGATATGTATAAAACTCTGAAAGAATAAAAATTGCTAATCAAGGATTTTGTATGTGGCAAAATTATCCATCAAACATGAAAGAGGATTAAGGGCACTTCCAGACAGAGAGAAATTAAAGAAAGTCACAAACGCAAGACCAACCTGACAACACAATGAAGGGGAGTCCTTTGGACAGTGAATGAGCCACACCGGACACAAATCTGAGATCAACACAAAAGGTAACACAATCAAAGCTCCACCCAACCACTGCACTACACAAAGTAGGACAATCTTTTAAGACTGAAAATAGAGAAATAGAAATATAATCCATAATAAAGACAATTAAAAAGTAAATAGAGGGAATATGTAGATAGAAAACACCTGAATAGAGAGGAAGTAGAGTTGATTTCAAGAAAAAAACAGACTATTTTTTTCATTGGATAATTCTCAGACAACTTACTGCAAATGTTTCTGTTTGCCTGAGAAAAGGGGAGAAGTTTTTTCAGTACTTGTACTTATTTGAGTTTCTATTATTCCGCGCCTGCACCACTTGATGGAGTTAAATACCTGCACACAACCCAGCCTCCCTACCTCTCTTAAGAGCTGATTCAAGATGTTACAGAGACAGCAGAAAATATTTGTCCATATGAAAAAGTAAGAAAACTTCCCTAACAGCTAATAAAATTCCCTAATAGAAGAAGAGAACATAAATATCCAGGAAGCTGAGAGAATCTGAAATGGAATAGACCCCAGAAGAAAACGATTGCAACATATTATAGTCAACCATGCAGAAACCAATAGCATCGTAAAATAATACACATCAAAATGACAACAAAGAACCCACATGTATCAAAATCATACTGAATAGTAATGAGTTAAATGCAACTGAATATTAATGAGTTAAACGCAACAGTCAAATGCAGACCACAAAAGAAAACAAGATCCATAAATATGTTGCTTGAAAGAAACACACCTTAGACACAAAGACAAATATACACTAAAAACAAAATTATGGAAAAACTATCAAGCCAATGGCAACCAAAAACAAACAAAAAAGCAGAAGTGGTAATATTAATTTCCATTAAAAGAGATTTCAAGGCAAAATCCATTATGAGAGGCAGAAGGCATTACATAATAATTAAAGGGCAATAAAACTAGGAGGTATAACCATAATAAACATACATGCACCCAATGAAAGACCCTGAAATACATTAATCAAAATCTCATAGAATTGAAGAAAGAAAAAGACAATTTAACAATAATAATAGAGAGCTTCAATACATCAGTTTTGAGGAAAGACAGATCCTGAGGAAAGGAAATAAAGACGCAAAATAACTAAACAACAGAATTAACTAACTAAATCTCATATATAGACATATATAGAACACTCCACCTAAAAAAGGAACATTCTCTAGAATAGACCATATTCTATTAGAATAGACCAAACCTTAATAAATTAAAAATATTGAGATTTTAAAAAATTATTTTTCTTAGACCACAATGCTATAAAATTAGAAATCAAAACTACTTGATAATTGATGAAATAAGGAATGAACTTTAAAAAATTGAAAGAAATGAGAACAAATGCACAACATAACTAAACCTTGGGACACAACAAAAACACTACTCAGAGGCCAATTTAGAGCAATAAATGTACACATGAATAAAGAATAGAGAATCAACACCATAACTCAATATATTCAGCAATTAGAACAAGAACACCAAAGTAAACCTTCAATCACCAAGAGAAAAGAATTTAAAGTTTAGAGCAGAAATAAATGAACCACAAGACAGAAAAACTAGAAAAATCAACAAGACAAGAACTTGATTCTTGGAGAGGATTAACAAAATTGACAAGCCACTAGCAAACTTAACATAGAAAAAGAAAGAAAAGTTGCAAATACCAAGAATAAAAGATTAAAAGAATGACAAAAAAGATTCAAATGAAATAAAAAGCAACACACTACTACAAAACACTGTACTTATGGTGTTTGATCAAGTGCAATGTAGCTGAGAGGAATTACCAAGAGCCAAATAAAGGTTAAATATGATAGTGGGACAGGAGAAAAGTAAAAGGAAACAGAGGAAAGAACTAGGAAGCCAAGGACATTTATAGAGGTATAAATACTGGCATGTACATATTTAAATGAATTTATGTATAATGACAGAATTATAGATCTATGTACGTATATTTATATGTTAAGTATCATGGTAGCAGACAGACATTGGGCCTCTATTCCAGTCTTCCCTCAACGCAAGAATACTTTGTCTAATAACCTGGCATTCTGTGATGCTCACCTTTGCTACATGATCGCTGAACACAAAATGGGTGCATAAGCAAATGTGGGAAAGATAGCTGATGGTGCCCACCTACTAAAAGATACAGGGTCTGGGGTCTTAAAAGCTTGAAGATAAACAAGCTGCCATGTAGCTGGAAGCAACAAAGCCCACTTGAAGAAGCACACCAGACTGTGTGATCATGAGGTATTGATGGGATCCTGTATCAGGCATCAAAGACGCAGAACAAAAAAATCATATCAATGTGGATTAGGGGGAGGGTGGAGTAGAGACCCAAAGCCCATCTGTAGACAATTGGACATCCCCTCACAAAAGGGCCACAAGGAAGGAAAAAGCCAGCCAGGGTGCAGTATAGCACCAATGAAACATACAACATTCCTCTAGTTCTTGAATGCTTCTTCCCCTCCACTATCATGACCTGAGTTCTACAAATTTGGCTAGACCAGAGCATGTACATTGGTACAGATAGGAGCTCTCTACACATGGACTCTAGGACAGATAACCCCCTCAGGAACAATAATGGGAGTATTGATACCAAGAGGGTAGGGGGAAAGTCGGGGGAGATGGGGGAACTAATCACAATGATCTATGTATAACCACCCACCCTCCACTCCCAGGGGGACAAACAACAGAAACATGGGTGAATGGAGACAGCAGAAAGTGAAAGATATGAAAATAATAGCAATTTAAAATTTATCAAGGTGTTGAAAAGGTTGGAGGGATGGGGAGGGAGGGGAAAAAGAGAAGCTGATACCATGGGCTCAAGTAGAAGTAGAAAGAAAATGTTTTGAAAATGATGATGGTAACATATTTACAAATGTGCTTGATATAACTGATGTTATAAGAGCTGTAGGAGCCCCCCCAATAAAATTATATATATGCACAGGACATGAACAGAGGGTTCACCAAAGAATCCATTAAAACAGCTGACAAACATATGAAGCATTGCTCATTATCACTAGACATCTTGGAGATGCAAATTAAAACAGTTGTGAAATACTATCTTACACTGGCAATGACTGCCAAGTTAAAAAAACAAACAAAAAATAACTTATGTTAGAGAGGATGTGGAGAGATTAGAATCCTCATTTACTGCCAATCATACTATACATATGTATAGGCACTATGGAAAGCAATATGATGCTACCTCAAACAACAGCGAATAGAGATTCTATAGGACCCAGCAATATATCTTTAAAGATAATATACTAAAGAAGCAAGAGTCATAGCTTGAACACAGCATATACACCCCTGTTCAAACATAAGAACAACTGTAAGGAGGCACAGAACTGGGCAGTGTTTTGTTCTGTTGTACATACTTGACAGCACCTAGCAACAACAATATGTTCAGCGCAGCACTGCTCACAGCAGCAAGAAGATGAAAGCAACCTTAATGTCCATCGGAAGAACAAGGGATAAGGAAACTCTGGTCCATACACACAACGGAGTACTATGCATTGCTAACAGCAATGATGAAAGCATGAAGCACCTCGTAACATGAAAGGACCCAGAGAACAGCATGCTGAGTGAAATCATTCAATCACAAAGGGACAATTATTATGTGAGGCCACTGTTATAAGGGCAAAGATAGTGGGGGGGGGGGGGAAACAACAAGATAAAAACGTTCACACTAAAGGAAACTAGCTTTGGAGACCGCCTGGGGGGACGGCAAGAGAGTGAGGGTAGAGCAATGAACTAGATTGTTGATGAAAATTAAACAAATCATAAGCAGGTGAAGATTAACCTACTGGGGGCATTGCTTTCAAGTTCAAATTGTTGAACACAAAGTGGATAATTTGACATGCAACCCCCATCAAATTTACCATAAAATCTGAAGAAAATAAAAGGCTGTTTTAAACTTAGGAAGAAATTAATAACAAGGTCGCCTCAAAAATAATGTATAAACCTCATCAAAATAATCACAAAGACTTAGTCAATAGTAAAACAAGAACAAGCAAACAAAAAAGACAAGGAAATCTATAAGCAAAATGAACTCAGCACCAAAGATTGTGAGGAAGAAAGGAAACAACAACAAACCACACAGCAAGTGGCAACAATCAATCATTTCTCTCAAGACAGACACCGAATAGAAATGGGATAAGTGTGCCAGTCAAGAGGCAGAGAGTAGCAGAA